TCTCAGGTTTGAGAGGACTTCGCAGGAGATTTAGAGAGATTTTATTTGACAATGCATTAAAGCTTCTGTCCCTGGCAGTGAGACTGAAACAAAGCCTGCATGCACTTATACTGTACAAGACACGTCTGAGTGTTAACTGCAGACCTGTTGTATCAGGCACGGTATTAAAGTTCCCTCATTCAGACCTTAGAATAGCACCACAATACAATAACCAGCCATTATTTTCTTTCTTATGCTGTACAGCTATAGTCCATCCACATGTCCAGTATCTGCTGTATCTAGTAGGAGTGGAATAATGTCACAGTAGGAGTAATTTTATGTAGTAGATACATTTTATATGTCAGATACACTAGCCATAGGCGGAGGGTGAACCAACTCCAGGGTAAGGCTAAAAGCAGCCAAATGTATTAAACATCATAAACCCGTCTTTTTAGCCAAGAACCAGACATGGGTGTCATGTAAGCTAAAAAAATGTTTAATAGGACTGAATTTGTATTTAACGTGATTACAATTTAATAAAAACATTAGAAATTGATAATTACATAACGTTTCCTTTCCACGGCTATTCAAACAGCGAATAAATTATATATAGAAAGTGACATTATCATCACTAACATTGATCTACCGCGAGTTTAAGCACTCTCTCAAAAAAAAATAATAACTATGGTTATAATCACTGAAGCTGTATACACTGTGAAATGAATCTCTTACTTACATTGTACGAACATTTGCTCTTTGTTGCTTATGATGAGAGAATTCGCAAGAGTCCGGTATTCAGTCAGCGAACGCGCACGTGTAACGTTTCCTGCTCTTGGTTGAAAAAATTATTTTTTGCGCACTCAACAAAACTGATGAGATTGAACGATGACTCATCTGAACTCCTCTGATTGGCCATTGCATTCCTAAGCTCAACAGAATTGTGCGTGATTGGTTAAAATGCGCAACACTGTAAAAACGCCTAAAATGAAATACGGTGCAACATGAGCAGATCTTAATTTAATGCCGCAATCGAAACTGTCTATTCATATTCACTCTTTTAGCAACAGACGTAATAGATTTAATTTGTTTGTGCAGGGGCATTTTTGCCCCAAGTCCCGTGGCCAGGGGAAGGCTTACACACGCTCCGCCTATGACATAGCGTTTAAAGATTTGGGGTCAGTAAGATTTTTAATGTTTTGGAAGTCTCTAGGTTGCATTAATTTGATCACAAATAAAGTAAAAACAGTGTGAAATATTGAAAACAACTTTTCTATTTGAATATATTTTAAAAATGTAATTTATGGCAAACCTCTTTTTTCAGAATTCTTTTATGAACAGAAATTTCAAAACAGCATTTATTTAAACTAAAAATGTTTTGTTACATTATAAATGTCTTTACTGTCACTTTTTGATCACTTTAAAGCATCCTTGCTGAATAAAATGTATACATTTCTTTCTTTCTTTCAATCAATCAATAATCCTACTGATCCCTACAACTGTAGTGTGTATCTCAATTAAGTCTGGGAAAGCGACTTGGAAACTTTGCCAAGATGTAAGCTACAAACTAACAAAAAAACAACAACATCTACAATATATTATACTTATGAAATGTTTCCTAACATATTTATCTTACAAATATCCTATAAAATCAATCCAAAACAACCTGATCATTTAAATTTTATGAGTGTTATTTTTCTGTAACAGAAAAGGATTTCTTTTTTTAATAAATGAAAAATCTCAAATACATGGCAGCCAGAGTTGTTAATGTTAAACTAAAAGTATTAAAAATAATTTTCAGCAATTGAAATAAATAAAAAAAAAAATTTAACTTTAGGAACAATTTATAATATTGCCTTAGCAACTAACTGAAATACGCTTAAATACGTAATTTACTGAAACTGTAATATTTTTTATAGATTTGATAGCTATATAGAAATAAAAAATTGTAAAGCACAAACTGGGAAGGCTTACACACGCTCCGCCTATGACATAGCGTTTAAAGATTTGGGGTCAGTAAGATTTTTAATGTTTTGGAAGTCTCTAGGTTGCATTAATTTGATCACAAATAAAGTAAAAACAGCAACAGTGTGAAATATTGAAAACAACTTTTCTATTTGAATATATTTTAAAAATGTAATTTATGGCAAACCTCTTTTTTCAGAATTCTTTTATGAACAGAAATTTCAAAACAGCATTTATTTAAACTAAAAATGTTTTGTTACATTATAAATGTCTTTACTGTCACTTTTTGATCACTTTAATGCATCCTTGCTGAATAAAATGTATACATTTCTTTCTTTCTTTCTTTCAATCAATCAATAATCCTACTGATCCCTACAACTGTAGTGTGTATCTCAATTAAGTCTGGGAAAGCGACTTGGAAACTTTGCCAAGATGTAAGCTACAAACTAACAAAAAAAACAACAACATCTACAATATATTATACTTATGAAATGTTTCCTAACATATTTATCTGACAAATATCCTATAAAATCAATCCAAAACAAACTGATCATTTAAATTTTATGAGTGTTATTTTTCTGTAACAGAAAAGGATTTCTTTTTTTAATAAATGAAAAATCTCAAATACATGGCAGCCAGAGTTGTTAATGTTAAACTAAAAGTATTAAAAATAATTTTCAGCAATTGAAATAAATAAAAAAAAAATATTTAACTTTAGGAACAATTTATAATATTGCCTTAGCAACTAACTGAAATACGCTTAAATACGTAATTTACTGAAACTGTAATATTTTATGTTAACGTACATTTTTCAGGTTTCATGAAAAGAAAATTCAAAAGAACCTTTTACAGCATTAAACGTTGGTAGCACTAGTTAACTTAATTCGGTCCCATTAGTTAATGTTAGTTAATGCATTAACTAACATTAAGTAACAATGAGAAATACATTTGCTACAGTATTTATTACATTTGTTAACTTTAGTAAATAAAATATAATTGTTCATTGTTAATTCATGTTAGCTCAAGTCCATTACGTAATATGAATAGATGCAACTTATGTTTTTAATCATGTATTAGTACATTCTGAAATTAATTTTATGCAGTAATGATAGTATGGTATGTTAATGTTAGTTGTAGTTAACTACATTACTAATAAATGGATCATTGTAAAGCATTATCCAAAATGTCACCAGTCACTTTTGATCAATTGTATGCATCTTTACTGAATAAACATATTAATGTCTCTAGATAGAGATCAAATTAAGTCCATAAAACACATTTGTTACCTAAACTAAAATGTCAAATTAAATATAAAAAATGTATTTTCTCTCATTTTCATTTAGTTCAACTTGATCTACTAAAATAAATAACAAACTATAAAAACAAGCAAATAAAAACAAAATTACTAACACTTCAACTTAACTTAAAATGATAGATAGATAGAAATATATATATATATATATATAGTGGGTAACAGCATCTCAATGATACTAAAATAACACTGTAGTGCATCTAGAAGAGTCTGCATTCACGTGCAATGCATTCTGGTCCACAGATGTTTGGATCTTACCTCGGGAAGGCATCGAAACAGTAGGTTTTGCGGGTGTCGGGAAAGGCCACACGCAAGCCGGACATGAGGGGAGAGTGGAGGATCACTGCCGCGCACTCGTACCGGGCCGCCAGGTCCACCGTCGGCACTGTCCCTATGCTCTGCCCATACAGGATGATGTTTTCCGGAGTCACTCCATACCTTCAGATTGACAAAGAGAGAGAAGAAATTAAAAAGCTGTAAATCATTACATACCATATCAACACTTCAAGCATGGTACAAATCGGTCACCCTCTCATCAGTGTGGGTTAAATTACTTCAATGCAACGATGCTCCGATCGATCGGCCGGAGATCATTATCGGCCGATCTCATGAACCGATTGCAATTTGATGACGTCAACGCGTAACGACGTACATGATGCGTGGGGACGTAAATTATGGTGCCGCAGTCATGTCATCGCCGGTGTGGAAATGTTATGACGTTTCGAGAAACAATGAAAAATTTGCTATTTGTCATGTATGTTTTGCATGATGATATGATGAATGGTTAATTTTTAACAGCAGATTCAGTGACGTTAGAGCTGATCTGCACCTCACTGCACACGTCTGCGGCGCGTTACGGCTCCACGGGAACTGGAGCTGATCGCGGCCGCTCTAATGCTTGTGTTTATCAGTCATGTTTCTGAAGCGGCTCTCCGCGCTGCTTGGCTAAAAATAGTCTATTGTGATTTGTCATAGCGTGGAGGACGGAACAAAACCTTGTCGGAGCCGTAAGGGATAACGGTAACATAACACACTGATAGTGGGCTGCTTTTAAATGAACATTTATTTAAACAAAATATCTTCTTTGGCCATATTAGCCTACTCAATAGCATTAACACAGGCTTTACTCCTTTCAAATTTTATCTGGAATGTCACAGTTTCTGTCACTGCTGCGTAAATCAGACGGACTTACTGAAAATGCAAATTCATTCTCTGCCAGCGGGAGAAACAGCGGCTTCCCCAAAATGACATCGAAAATGTTCTTCTTTCAGAAATAGTTATATAAAAACACCCACGCCTCGTTATGATTTTTAAATGTGCAGTACGTGCTCATGTTTATTCAACTAAGCCTTTTGGAAAATCGGACAGTTTTTATATTGTGGCGAGCACCACGGCCCTCTACGGACACCTTGGCAATTGAATCGCCATTGGCTAGTACATTTTTTAGTTTACTCGACAGACAGACAGACAGACAGACAAACACACACACACACGTAAAATGGCACAGTTTTATAAATATCTGAACATCAGTCAGTCAAGCATTATAATATGATAATCAATATTATTTAATGATAGAACTTTAGTAATTAGAATTAAAACTTGATAACCATGTATGAAAGCATATTAGTCATTTTAACTGAACTTCGGACTGATGGTGCTGCTTTTTGGTCATTCAGCTTTTCTGTAAAAAAAAATCAAAAATTGGGGAAGAAACTAACACAAATACTGTTAATAATAATAATAATAATAATGATCCGAATTCTAATAATAAGAACAATATAAAAACGCACTAAAGATTAATGAGCTACTGGAATCATGAATATTAATCCGGTTGTGTGCGTTCGCTCGAACTGATTTGCTGAAATCAAAACGTCGATAATAGGCAAGCGCCAGCCAATGAGTTTGCCGTTTGCGCATTAGTTCTGCCCACTACATGAATGAATGAATGAATGAATGAATGAATGAATGAATGAATGAATGAATGAATGTACACACACACACACGTAAAATGGTTTTATAAATATCTGAACATCAGTCAGTCAAGCATTATAATATGATAATCAATATTATTTAATGATAGAACTTTAGTAATTAGAATTAAAACTTGATAACCATGTATGAAAGCATATTAGTCATTTTAACTGAACTTCGGACTGGTGGTGCTGCTTTTTGGTCATTCAGCTTTTCTGTAAAAAAATCAAAAATTGGGGAAAAAACTATCACAAATACTGTTAATAATAATAATAATGATCCGAATTCTAATAATAAGAACAATATAAAAACGCACTAAAGATTAATGAGCTACTGGAATCATGAATATTAATCCGGTTGTGTGCGTTCGCTCGAACTGATTTGCTGAAATCAAAACGTCGATAATAGGCAAGCGCCAGCCAATGAGTTTGCCGTTTGCGCATTAGTTCTGCCCACTACCGGAGAAACTCGGCAGTTCTTAAAAGCTGAAGAACTCCAAAAGGAACTCCGTTATTTTGACAGCAAAATACAACAAAGAATATATTTTCCATGTAGCGCGTCAATTCTCTCTCTCCGTCTCTCTCTCTGCGTGTGTGAGACAAAGCGACGGCGAGTCGTGCGCCTTCATAGTGTTTCCGGTACATTAAATACAGGTGCGTTGCACACCCATTGAGATGAACTGAAAAACAGCACAGATCGCTTGATGGAGAGTGAAACTCGGAAGCGCTCAGTCAGAGAGTGTTCAGCGAGTGAAAATATATCTGTGCTAAACTTATACTTAGCCTCCAACTCACATTAATCCGGTTGTGTGCGTTCGCTCGAACTGATTTGCTGAAATCAAAACGTCGATAATAGGCAAGCGCCAGCCAATGAGTTTGCCGTTTGCGCATTAGTTCCGCCCACTACCGGAGAAACTCGACAGTTCTTAAAAGCTGAAGAACTCCAAAAGGAACTCCGTTATTTTGACAGCAAAATACAACAAAGAATATATTTTCCATGTAGCGCGTCAATTCTCTCTCTCCGTCTCTCTCTCTGCGTGTGTGAGACAAAGCGACGGCGAGTCGTGCGCCTTCATAGTGTTTCCGGTACATTAAATACAGGTGCGTTGCACACCCATTGAGATGAACTGAAAAACAGCACAGATCGCTTGATGGAGAGTGAAACTCGGAAGCGCTCAGTCAGAGAGTGTTCAGCGAGTGAAAATATATCTGTGCTAAACTTATACTTAGCCTCCAACTCACACGGGCGAGTAAAAGCTGAGAATTTATTAGCAATTGGCTAATATTAGACATCATTTAATCGCCCAGAGTGAAGATTTAGTCGCATATGCGAGTGATTTACTCGCAATGTAGAGGGTTGCAGCACAGATAAATAAATGTATGGGAAACACATCCCACAGCACAACCACAGTCTACTCACCACCTTTACTTTAACTGCGTTTGTAGCCAGCGCCATAGCCAGACTGATAAACAAACACAGACCGGAAGCAAACTTCGGGCCAGGCTCATGCGCCCGATGAAACGGTCTATATAAAGCTTGAAGCATCAGTATCGGCCGATCACCATGACAAGAAATCGGTACTCCGTATCGGCTGCAAAAATCCTGATTGGAGCATCCCTAAAGCAAACAGCTCATGCGGTTTACTTTGAATTGCATTTGTGTCTATAGCAACATTACAATTTGTAGTAAAATATATTTTCATCATGGCATATTATTAGAAAATCCAACTGGACAAAATGGCATGTTAGGTCAAGAACCGAGAACTCGCAGGCTCCATAAAACAACTAAGTGAGTCCCTGAGCTAGTGAACACAGGACTGAAGCTTTATTTGACACTTTAAGATGCGCTCAAAGGAAAGGCTAAAGAGGGCGAGTGAGAAGTCAAGACAGATGGAGAAGGGAAGGAAAAAATGCACTGGTATGCTCTTCAGGATTTTGTGCTCCAACTTTCCTGGGCAGCTTTGCAGTCGGGTCTGACACCTGATCAGAAGCAGCGGCTCTAAGGTGTCAGACAGAAAGCAAACATGTTTGAAGTCTGACCTCAGATCAGACTATTTCAGGTTTTTATCAGAGGCTTGCCCAGAGCTGAGTGAGATGTCTCAAATGCACACGCAGCGGTACAAAGTGTCCCGCGGAGAGCGCTGGCTACATGAGCCTCTTTGAACTCGACTAGCTTTGGCGAGATTTTATCAGGTAACGGAACATGAAGTCTCATTCTCTGTTTTCCACACAGACAGATATTACAGGGTGAAAAGAGGAGACAGAGCGCTCTTGTAAATAAACAACCACCCATGTGACCAAGCATGTGAAATTCAGGCTTGACAATCAAGTTTCTAGAGATCTGGAGATGGAGAGGACAGGGAAAACACATCACTGAGGTAATTCATCTCCATCAACAACAATCCACATCGAGAGTCAGCTTACAGTTAGGAAAATTTGTTTATGAACAGTTTTGAATAAACTGGATTTTTTTTTACACGCATGATTTAACACTGAAACCTTATTTAAAGAAATGGTTCCTCCAAAAATGAAAGTCGTCAAGTCAATGACAGTCACACTTCAAAAATTACCAGAATTTTTTTTTTTTAAAGATATGATGCATATGGACTTGTCATATGACATGATTCTGCATGAGGCACAGACCATAATTTAAAATGTTATTCACCAAAAATCTTTCCCTTCATTCAAGCACTAAAAATCTAATTCACAATAATTTTCTAATTTTTGTTTTCATACAAAATGATCCGTAAATTCAACTTTAAGTTAAACTGTAAAAAAAATTATAAAATAAAATAATAATAATAATAGTAGTAATAGTAATGCATTGAAAATAAATAATAAATAATTAAAAATAAATGACTACTAATAATAAATTGTTCTTATTATTCAGTTAAAAGGGGAACAATTTAATTTAAAAAATGGTAACACTTTATAAATAACCTTCCAGACCAAAAGACATTTCAGTGTCGACTGGCAAAAAAAATAAATAAATAAATAATAAAAAAATAAACCAAAATGAAGAGGATGGACAGGAAACCTTTCCGAATGGAACTATAACAACTCAGAACTGAACTTTATGAGTGCAGAACTTTAAAAATTTCAAAACATTACTACTCCCTAGGAGTAAGTGTCCTACAAAGATCAATGCAAGGGCATGTCATGGAGTCTTCAGAGAAGGATAGTCTAGTCCCACTAGAGGATCTTCCAGTCATACTCTTCATTTACAAAGTTTTTTGAGGATCAGAGACGATCGGAGTGCTCAAGCTTCTCTCAAAGGATCTGCAGGATCTCTCATCTCTTGATAATTCACCGATGCACCAAGATCCAAGCAAAGCATGGCACAGGAAGTTACTCACAGGAGGTTACAGAAGCCAAGAACAACATACTGCTGTCCATCTTACAACTTGCAGAAGACCACCACGATATTAAAAAACACCACCACAGTGAAGCTGTGTGAAAGGAGAGGACAAAAGTTGAACTTTCTGGTGAAAAGTACATGCTGTTATGTTTAGAGAAAAACACTACATACCACAAAACTCCACAGCAGAATGTCAAGCTGTAAAAACTCAAACAATCATCGGTAATTCAACATAACAATGACCCAAAACACAAGGTTATACAACAACTACATCACGGAAACAGGAAATGCCATTTTTCTGAAGGCTCAGATGAAAACAGAAACACTTGGAGGAGGAGGTTAGATGGATATCAGGATACCAGCATGAGTCAAAGATTAGTATGGATTAGGGTTGTGATGGTGAGGACATTTTCCCACCGGGTAATCGATGTGTGATAACACCGGTAATACCGTGGGGTGGGGTTTGTTGGGGTTTTCCATCTTTTCCTTTGCTTTTAAACGGCTTATAAATGGGGCTGGGCGATCTAGCTAAAACATGCATCGATTTAATATTTCATATCGTTCGGTATCGATAATTATTGACATTTTTTATAACCTTTTTTAAAACAAAGAGCAATAGAATTTTTTTTAATTTTTATTTAACCACTGTATTTTTTAATTAACCCAATTTATTGAGACAAACAACTAATTTTTTTTGTTTGTTTTAACAGTCAAACACAATAAAAATTAAACAAATATCTAATTTCTAATGTTTTATATGTCGATTAAATAGGACTTAAGGAAACTTTTGGCTTGTCTCCCGAGGCCACAGGAGGGCGCAATGAGCAAAATAATGCAGCACGTCAACGCAGGGAAATAACGGTCTATTAAAAAGAACATGCATTACGTCTAAATTAACTAATTATAACTTTGTAAACTGCATAAACAATTATGAACAAAACAGCATCATGTATTTACGCATTGCTTAATACAAAGAGCCGAATCGCCCATCACGGAAATTGCATTTAAAAACACATGAGACGCAGTGAAAAGGAATAAACCTCTACAAGTTCGCGACGTGTTTTCTAAAAGTTTAAACTGCTTTAACTTTGCATGGCTACATCTCTTGTGTGAGACGCGAGTGCAGCAGTCATATTTGTCCGTCTAAATGCGCTGAATACGCATCTGTGTGAATGGCTTGGTTTCGCTTTTCACCTAATCAAGATCTTCTCCGCATTGAGCTTCTATATTTCTCTAATATTTTGAATGCATAACACAGCAGCGGCGCATCTCGTGGGCTAGACTAGTACAATATTAAAATGCAACAATGTCAATTACATCATTATCACCGCATCTTGTGCGCCACTGATGACGCTCCGTGACGCACTCCTAACATTCAAATGCAAATGTTTATTTTAAATTCGACTATTATTATAATTTTTTTATTCACAATCTCCTCATTACAGGCAGGCACAGCACTCAATTCAGCATGTGTTCGTGTTAGCTTACCACGTGCCTATATCCTGCACTATATCGAAAAAAATTTTATATTGTTATTGAAAAAGGTGTACCGTCGATAAATATCGATACCGTTTTATCGCCCAGGCCTACTTATAAATACCTGTGCGAATTAGGGTCAGTTGTTTGAATGGACAACAACAAGATGGACAACTCACTTATATTAAACATAGAAATTTTGTTAAACCGAATAAAAATACACCATGCTATAGGCCTAATATAAATAAATAACTTGCAAAGTTTAAATATATGTAAAAATAAATAACAAACATAGAACATTTCTTAGCAAAATGCATAAGAAAGCTTGGAGGCATGGCATACACCTTGATGTAAAGGTGTGCAGTGATGTAACCATGTTGCGGCATAACACCGGTAACACCGTCAACACAGACTACCGCAGTAAGCCTAGTATGGACGGGAAAATTGGTTTGGAAAGGGAACCAGGCCAAAACAAACCAATCAGAGAGTCTTTTCAAGCCTCAATATGCTTCCCGTCACTCATGCGAGTTAATTTTCTGGAAGGAGAAAACCCCTTTGATTCAATGTGCCGGGAAATTAATTATTCTTATCGGATATCAAATATCATTTCAGAGAGATCCAAATGTTGATGGTGAGATAGCAAGAACAAGGGGTGTGATGATACCTCAAGGATCTGCCAAAACAAATCCATTTCCACATACTGAGAAAACATCAGAGATTGATCCGAAATCAAGCTCTGAAAAGAGGGAAAACTCTCAGAGCCAGGACAAACTCGCTGCGTCTAGCACAAGCATCCCCTTTTTTTCCTATGTGGAAAACTACTGAGAACACAAGCATGTCGAAAAAACACAAGTCGATGCAAATGCTGTGTTTCCTTAGCCTGAATTAAGGCAATGAGAAATGGCTTGTCCAAACAAGCACCGGGGTCCGATTCCATGGAACAGCTGGAAACGAAAAGCAAATTTCAGTGTTTATAGCCAAAGCGGCACAAACAGCTATGCACACAAACCATTCGCCGTGTTTTTCTGAGCTGAAACAATATGAGAACTTGAGAGAGACTGGGAAAGATGCGTGTTTTTGTGTGTGTATTCTAATATGGGGAAAAATAAGAGGCGCTCTGTGATCATGCACAGGAAGAACGGCGCGCACACACAGTAGTCTGTTTTGTGAAACCGCCTTTCTGCCAAAGCAAACATTTACAGATGGATTTTTGGGCTGAAATTCACATGCTGTTGCCAACCTGAAAGGTTTACCCCGAAAATAAGGCTCGCTGTGAATGCCCTGCTGGCTTCTCAGTGGAAACAGATGGATGTCTATGCCTTACAAATTCTCAAGTAATCCATATGCATATGAATTATGGATATGCAAATGATACCTCAAGTAAGCACTGATGTGTGTAATAGAGTATCAGCGCTGTTAACTTGCAGGAGTAGTCTAATGTCATCCTATAGAATGCACAAATCCTATTGACGGCTATTCAAAAGTTGCATATTCCGGTGAAAATTGTTCGCAAGAAACTTTTTAGAGGGCTCTTGACAAGAACGGACTGTCAAAAATGGTTTAGGTGAAAAGAGTTTCCACTTTCAGTTTGAACATGCAAAGTACTTCATGCTAGAAAGTAGAAACTCATTGTCACGTGCAAACCTGCAACATTAAAGATACTGTAAGCAGTGTCAGCTGTTCGTTATTTCGCACCCGACAATAGAGTGCAACCATTGCTTCCAGAAGTAAAAATCCCATTCATTTTCTCTATTGGGGAATAGATTTTTAACGATAACTTGTAACCCATTAAAGACAGACCTGGTGTGAGCTATGAGGTTGTTAATCGGTGGTATATGCTTTTGTTAAAATCATCAGCCTGCATTATTTCATCTTATTTTTTAAATAACAGCATAATTCCTAGTAGAAAAACCACATTACCAATGATTCTGCAAAGAAATCGCCATCATTCAGTTGAAACGAGACAAGCAAATCATGCCATATATGTGCATATTTTACAATAAATGTAAAATGTGTTTTCTATGCATGCAATCAACATTTAAATCAAAAGTTTTTCAGTCATTTGCAATGATTCATTAGAGTTCTTTCCCCCATTAAAGATGTTAAGTACAGTCTCGTACCTTTGTCTTTTTGTCCGATTTACAAATAATTCATATCAAGGTCTGTGATTCACCTCATAACTGGTTGGTTTGCTTCATGCCAATAACACCTTAAAGTCTTTTTTAAAATCCTTATAGGAAAAATGAATGAGAAAAATACTTCTGGAGACAGGCCATTTAAAATGTACTTTGTGTTGCACTATTATATACTTTTTGATATATACTGAGTATTTACACGTTTTTAACCTAAATGACCCATGTTGTTTTCAGAGTACATCACAGCAGCATCCATTTGTTATTTTAATAAGTGAAACTGTTAGCCAATCATAGCAGTGGGTGTTTACTTGCGAGTCTTGAATGTGCCCCATCTATAAAAACAGACCGTTCTGCAGAGAGGCTCAAAAACAGGATAGAAAATAGCCTATTACTTCAAAATTATGATGTTTTTAATGTTAAATCACACTTAACATATTAAGTGAACCTCAGAGAACATTATAAAATAATTTTAAAATCTCATTGTTTCGGTTGCAAGAATCAGCTTAAGCATCCAAACAAGGACCTGAGGCACGAGGTGACCAGAGTCAGCTGAAGTTCAAACTTTACGAACTTCCCTGCACTTGACCGACAGAGTAAACACTGACCTCATGACCTTTGTCACACTCTTCCTCCATCTTGAAAATAGCAAAAGAGATGTGAGAGTCATTATGTGAGTAAAGTTTCATAATGTGCACTACAAACAACAAGTAAAATAGTTAACAAATTGGTGTTAATTTGCTGCTGAAATCCTCCTTAACATGGCTTCCCAGCTGTGCAGGATTAGAAGACTTCATGCATCTTCATCCACATGCCATTTTTTCTCTGCAATAACTGAATGTCACACGGATGTGGTTCAGTGTTCTTGGCTGTGGGTGAAAAGAGCATTTTAATTAGCCGGCATTACTGATAATACCTTGAGTTTTGTCCATAACTAATTTTCCAAGTAATTCATTAACTGTCATCGCACAAACACTTTTTTTAGGTCTGTTGCACTGCGAGAAGAATCCAAAGCAGTTCAACACTTTGTTCACTTTCTTCAACACCAGTTAAAATTCAGGGGCATTTGTTTAGCCCCTACTGAACAGAGCAGACACTATTTTAAGACTTTATTCACATCATGCATGATACTGGATCAGCTCCAAATCCAAGGGAGCTACACAGAATTTTAAAACATCATAGGTGTGCAAAGGCGGCAATCCAATGATGCATTACAAGCCACCTATAATGCAGTGCAACACGGATAAAGTGAATACTGGTATTATTGATCAAATACTGAAAGCAACTCTATGGTAATGCCAGACACTATTGGAATCAATTGAAGTCGAGTCTCCAAGTGCAATGCACTTGAGAAGTGCTATTTGTATGACAGACAGTAGGGTCGTGCCGATAGACGATAGTATCGTGTATCGACGATAGACAGAGATATCGCCTGTGGCTGATGCCTTTGACGATAGCAAGACGATTATTATTATTATCAGGCTAGTAATACTATCTAATATTAGGGCTTATTTGTTGCATTATATTTCTTTTTCCGCGTTATTACAGTATTGCGCGTTCTAACCAATCACACACGATTATGCTGAGCTTATGAATGTAATGGCCAATCAGAGGCATTCAGGTGAGTCATCACTGAAACAGCGGAGTTCTGTTGCTCAGCGCACGCTGACTGAATTCTGACTCGTGAATTCTCATTATAAACAAAGTGCAGATGTAAGTATAAGAGATTTATTCATCATATAGTGTAGATCCACTGAGTTTAACGGGAGTGTTTTTAAAGTGCATAAACTCGCACTAGACTGAGCTTGTGATGATGTTCTTTGGTAATGTAATGTTCTTTGCTCGTTTTCTGAATAACTGAGGAAATGTAAGCATTATAATTAGTAACTTACGAGGTTTCTATTAATGTGTTATGTTAAATACAAATTCAGTCATATTAAAAACATTAGGCTTCTTTTAGCCTTACGCTGGAGTTGGTTCACTTTCGCGCAATGAAACTAAGTAGGCTAAATAATTACATAAATTAGCACGATAATATCGTGTATCTGCGATCTCACAGGCTGATGATAGGATGATATGAAAATTGAGCATATCACCCAACACTAATAGACAGTTGTCGCCTAGTAGAGCATTCCATATCAATTACGGTTAGGATGCTGCCTATGTAGGCAGCAGACAGCAAAGCGGCTCATTTGGTTTTAGAGCAGAACTACTGAATACTAAGTAGTAAGTCACAAAAGCTGACATGAGTTTCATTCTATCCAACACGCCAATGCTACTTGCAATTACAAATAATCCTCCGAAAACCTCAATCCCACAATTGACACCAAAGACTCTGTCAGAGCAAGTTATTCTGTACGCTCAAGAAAGCAAATGCATCCACGCATAATGTTCAGTGAATGTCTGGTAAGCAACTTGCATGCTTTCACCTGTCTGTGTGCTGGGAGTTAGAAACGGCTGTTTTAAGAGGATGTCCTCTGACCTCACGTGCCTCTTCAAAGAGAGACTCCACGTGTAAACTTTAAGGCACGGTTTCATTTACTGCATGGAGACGAGCTCCTAAAGCACTTTAAAATCCTTTTACTGCTTTCCTGTGCAGTCAGGAGTGACCTGCCAACACCAGATTACCCCAGGTTCATGAGATTACTTCTCTCAATGCAGGAGTCAAACACCACATGGATATAATCAAATGCAAATGCACTCTAGCAAATCTGAATTTGCCTTCCTAGTTAAAACATCCCACCCTCACGTCGTTCCAAACCTGGATGACTTTGTTTCTTCTATGGAATGCAGATGATGATATTTTGAGGAATCTCAGACAGTTTTTGTCCATACAATAAATGTTAATGGTGTCCAACATTGTTGTCCAACAAGTTCTTCAAAATATCTTATTTTGTGCTCCACAGAGTGACAATGAGGGTAAATGACAATCTCTTTAAGCTTTAAAACACAAACGCATATGAAAAATCAAAAGAAGGATTTCACCAGTATGGTCCATCACTGAATGGTGCCCATCTTCATGCAAGCAATGTCAATCAATTGAAGTCAGTTCAGGTGGTACAAACACTAGCTTCTATTTATTTCTCAATATATATATATATATCTCAAAATATCTTATTGAACTTTAAAAATGGCAGTAAAGTGATCATATCAGATGGATACAATGGTTAATTTAATTGGGAACTGAATGGATTGAGAAAAGTTAACCAGAATGGAGACAGGTGGTTGAAAGGGAGGAGTTGAAAAAGAAGAGTGCTTGGTGATCAGGAAAGCCAAAGGAGGACATTAATATCAGAGGAGAAACAAGTTACATTTTGATTAAAAATAAATTGAATGGAGCACAGTTAGGCCAGAAACTAATTAAGCGAATAGGATCATTTTCATTAGCCTGCTATAGTGTCTTCAACAAGCTTCCAAGGGGAGACACAGGATGACTTCAAAGCATTTAAATAATTAACCCTCTTAATAACCACTGTTTTGGTAACACTTCATTTAGACATTTGGTTGTCTATAATTGGCGCTTTTCCACTGCATGGTACGGCTCGGCTCAGTTTGCGTTTCCACTGCAGTTTAGTACTGCTTTAGAGTGGGCGGGATTGTAGACATGTCGTTATAGTTGCACTGCCTCTACCTCCTGAAAAACTTTTTCATTCCACGTCGTCCCATCAAACTCTCGCTGGATCTGTTCCTCGGCTATCAACGAGAGGGACGTCTGTACTTCCTCAACAGACCACGAAACAGCCATTATTTTGTTTAAAGGGGTCACATGATGCTGCTAAAAAGAACAGTATTTTGTGTATTTGGTGTAATGAAATGTGTTTATGCGGTTTAAGGTTCAAAAACACATTTTCCACATACTGTACATTATTGTTTCTCTTCTATGCCCCGCCTTTCTGAAATGCGTCGATTTTTACAAAGCTCATCGTTCTGAAAAAGCAAGGTGTGCTGTGATTGGCCAGCTATCCAGTGCGTTGTGATTGGCCGAATACCTCAAGCGTGAGACGGAAATGTTACGCCCCCTCACCATATTGTAATGATGCCCTGTCAGGCCGGAGCGATGATTCAAAAACATGAAAACCCATTATAAACGAGGCATTCATTGCATCCAGTGGGGACATAATTATGGATTATAATGACTTACACTGTCTTTTTACGCGTTGCATCGCACCGCGTAAACATAAAACCATGTCTGCATTTGTGACTCATCCAAATGACAAACAACAAGCCCTACTCTACACTGCCCAAAAAACTCGCTTTAAATATATAAACTATAAAAACTCTTTATATATAAAAAATGTACTTACAGTCCGAGTCAGAACAGCCGGCATTGTAGTCTACTCTCCCAGGATCAGGAAACAGTCCTCCATAAAATGTGCTGCACACATCTGAATATTTGGGTTGAAGTGTTCTGGAACAGTGTTGTAAATACAACTTAACCACTGATTTCTAGTCGTGTCCATTTTTGGAAGGCCAAACAAAGTAGTTTCGCTTTCACAACGAAACACACAGCATGACACTGTGGCCTAGAGTGAGCGGCGGCGGCCTAGATGAGCAGAGACTGGGGACTAGCGTGAGGAATGGCCGGCGGGTTAGAGTGAGCAGAGGCGGGTGGGTTTTTCTCTAGAAGTTATGATCGATGAAAATGTCTTTGTACTCTGTTGTTCTTGCAGTCTCCACTATTTTGTTGTTGTTCTGTCTCTTTAGATTCATTTTCTACTGTGAAATAACGGCCTGGGCCAGTGTTGCCACCTTGTGGAACAACTGATTAGTGCAAAACGAAGTCAATCATGCACATGTGCGAGCTGCGTGTACAAAGTATGCGCAAGGGATACAACAATACAGATAGCCCATGGTTCAATGCATACCTTTGTTTTCGGTTTGGTTCAGATGGCTTGGCAGTGTTTTTTTTTTTTTTGCAATTTAAAATGCGGTTTTTTTTTTACAAATTAACAACAAAAAAATCTCAAAAACCAGTGTCCACGTCTGTTCTTTGGAGAAAGACATGGATTATGTCTTCTTAATATTTATTTTTAAATAAGTATTACTTTTCTTATTTTTACCCAAAATAGGATGGATTGGCCGTTATTGAGCACTATAAAAACATGCCCGTAATGTATCTTGAGCTTGTGTTCACTACAGACCCTATCAGGCATTTAACCTAAAACCCATTTAAAAACCCCATTGGTTTTAACATGATGTTACAGAAAGTAAAAAAAAAAAACATTTTTTAAATGTGAACTTGTTTCCAGGTTTTAGGCCTCATTCCTTATTCAGTTCACTTCAACATGTTTGCGTGATAATCCTGCTCTTTTTTCGTCAGGAACCAGAGAGAAACATCTAAAATAACAGTTTAGTCCATCACCTCCATTTCATTTTGAAGAGCAAGATGTCAGAAAGAAGCCAGCAGGACATCCCCTACTAAAATGGAGTTGTTTTGAGTCAGCAAATGGGACGCTGCCTTGAAGCTCAAAGTAATTTAATAGAAGCACATTTTCCCTCTTTTCTATTTGGTTGGTGCAAACCAATTTAAGTCCATCACACCACTGAAACTACTTTTGTCAGTTTACTGCTGTTTTTATCGGGGGCTCTAGTGACTGGCTGCTCCTCTCTTATCATTTGGGATTTACTGCTTTGCTGTACACAGTTTACCAGTAGGAAACCCATGTCTTGTGTACAAAGAGAGAAAAACCTTAATCTTAAATGGGAAACTGGGATGTGGAGCCATAGACCACGTAAGTCTCGGGCTCAAGCTCATATGGTGAAACGTACCTCTGAACACTCCCTGATTAAAAACGTCTGTCTGTCCTCCTGCAGTC